GACAAAGCGGCCAAAGCAGAGTGGTCTGTTGGGCCTCCGCCGGGCAGCCGCCGCCGGCGGACCGCGCCTCTGCTCTGCTGAGATGCTGTTTGCGCGACTGGATCGGTGAGCTGAGGAGGCTAGGCAGGCAGGCAGCAGCAGGAGCACTGTACAGAGCGCCATTGTCAGAACTACTTGCCGGCTCCGGAGCAGCGGTGGCGGCCGGGCCGGCCCAGCGGGCGGTGCAGATCATCATCAGCAGCAGCCCGCTGCCCCGCCCCGCCCCGCCCCGCCCTGCCCCACCCCGCCTTAGGCCGGGCCCGAGCGCGCAATCAGGCCGCGCCACAAACATCATCACGAGTCGCTAATTGTCTATTTCCATGAGTGCGAAGCAGTTAGCCGGCCGGCCAGCAGTGTGTGAGAGAGGTGGCCGGCCAGCCAGCCGGTGTGTGTGTGTGTGTCGGAGAGCGCGGGAGAGAGAGAGAGAGAGGGAGAGAGGGAGAGAGAGAGAGAGAGAGAGAGAGAGAGAAAGAGAAAGAGAAAGAGAAAGAGAAAGAGAAAGAGAGGGAGAGGGAGAGGGAGAGAGAGAGAGGGAGAGAGAGAGCGGCAAGCGATTGATTTGATTTATCAGCGCGCCTGTTGCAATGATAAGGTAATAGTGAAGTCGTAGTTGTCATATAGTGATAGTGTTGATAGTGATGTTATAATAATGGGGACCCTCGTAGGAAGGGGATGTTTGTTGGCGTTGAACGGGGAGCAACATGGTGCGTGTTAGCTGGAGAGAGAGGAGAGGGGGAGAGGGGGTTTGAGGATGCACGGTGGTGCGCTTGTCGACTGGTTTGGCGATTAAGTAAATTGACGGCCGGGAGCCAGAGAGAGAGAGGGGGGGGGGCAGGGCTAGCCTAGCTGCAGCGCGAGGGACGACAATGTGAGCCGATACAAGGGCCGCGTCCGAGGGCGAAGAGTGTCTCGCTAACGAGGGCCTTGTGTGTGAGTGTCGCCTGCGGCGCCAACGGCGATAGGCAATCCGGACGCGGCCGTCAAGAGGCGGGGGTGGCGCGCTGTGCTGTTGCAGGGGGTTGGCGGAGCGGCGGTACCTGCCCATAGCAGTCCGTGGGGGGTGGGTAACGGCGCCCGGACACGCGAGCCTCGAAACACTCGGCCGCCGCCTCCAAACTGCTCTGCTAGCAGCGACGACGTGTGGGGCATACGACACGGCAAGGCTTATTCTGTATTGTGTCAACAGTATGTGTAACAGGGGGCTGCTTGGTCGGGTACGACAAACTGCATTGGCCTTTCTGGTTGCTTCATCCACGTGACGATGCTGTGAATTTGGTGTTGATATGTTCGCCCTCCCCCCCCCTCCCTCCTCCTTTCTCCCCCCCATTTCCCGTCCCGCACCATGCTCAGCCCCCCGCCCTAATTAAAGGAGCTGCCAACTTGTTTACAGTGAATTCGAGCTCTCGCTGACGGAAGTGAAGCAGTGTGCGAAGCAAAGGAGATGGAGGAGGGGGTGAAGGAGGCGGGAGGGTGTAAGGGGTGCACGCACGCCGGCGCGGGGGGAACATTCTTACCCCGCCCGCTTCCTCCACAACCCCCCTACCCCTTCCTTTCTCCACCTGGCCCCTTGTTATTGCTTTGCGCCACCTTCCTTTTCCTACTTCCTATAATGCATTCTAATCCTCGGCGTTCTCCGCCCCTCTTGTCCTCACTTGTGCACCCTAGAGAGTGAGGAGGGGGGGGGGGGTAGCCTTATTAAAACTCCCCACTTGATTTATAGAAAGGGTTATTGCTCGAAAATATTCATCGCGATAATGCAGGCAACGCGAGTCGTCATTCTTCCCTGCCGCTCCCCGCCGCCAGCAGGAGGCTTGTCGTCGCCTGGGCTCCCGTGGGGGCTGCTGGCAGTATAGCTGACCTGACAAGCCCTATCGGTACCCCGGAGTACTTTGCGTCTCTACGAGTTTGGCATGTTTACTTCGACCCCCAAAGTGGAAAAAAAAAACTTTAAAAAAACAAAACAAAAACAAACTAGATCGCAGCTGTTATTGAAATGGATCTCGGTTGGACTTCCTGACGGGATGATATTGTATCGACAAAATCTTCTCGCAAAATATCTGACTGTGATTAGGATTAGTATATACCGCCTGCAGGCGACTCCTCATAGTCAACATACTGGTTCAGCAGCAGTGTACCTATTGATTTCCTCCGTCGCGGCCATGGCCCAGCCGCTCTGTCTCTCTCTATCTCTCTCGCGCTCTCTCACTGCTCTTGCTCTGCTCCGCCTGTCCCCGACACGCCCGCCGCCGCGCCACGCCCCGGTCCTGCCGGCCGGAGCTATGAAATTATTAATCAGCTAAACAATTGGAAGCCCGAAGCCCGGTGATGTTCTCTGGCCGGTGGGGCCTGTCGGTCCATAAGTCAGTCGGGCACTTTAATTTAGAGCATCGGCGGCCGCAGCGGCGGCGGCCCCCGTGCGCTGCTCCTATCGGCCATCGCGCGGATAAGGTGGGAGGAGGAGGGGGAGCGTGAATGGCAATCGACTCGCGGCGGGGACGATAATTAGCAATAAATTAGACAGGGACAGGTAGCTCCCTCGTCAACATCATAAACAGCAGCAGCGGGAGTCGCGAGGGGCCGCCGCCGCCGGGGCCCGGGGCGGGGCGGGCGTGCGGCCGGCACGGCAGAGAGAGAGGGAGAGAGGGGGGCCCCACCACCGCCGCACCCCGCA